TGGGACCCCTCTCCACTTGAAGAGCTTGCCCATCCTTCCTCTTGTCTATCAATTGGCTACCCATTCAGAACTCCTCTCAATTCAGAGAGCTTTCCTATCCTTCTTCCTAACAATAAATCTCTTGCTTTTCTGTTACTTTGGTCTGGACATTGAATTCTTTCCTCACTGAAGAGAACTGAGAAAGAGCCCACCTGGGGTCCTCAGGCTCCAGATCTGCTCCCAAAACCCCAATTCACAGTGAGGTATAAAGTCACTCTCCCCTTTCTCACAGAACTCAGAACGTACATGAGTTGATGCCATGTACATTTTTTTAAAGATTTATTTATTGGGTCTCCCTGGTGGCGCAGGCGGTTGAGCTTTGCACTGTGAAGCTGTCCGCAGCCTCTCAGCGTGGGTTCAATCCCTGCCAGTGGGCGAGAATCCCACATGGTGAAACAGACCTCTCCTGTCTCGCTCGCTGCTCCCCAATAAATAAATAAATAAATAAATAAGATTTATTTATTTATATAAGAACTGAGTACAGGCCAGATGCGTGGGAGGGTGAAAGGATTCACCAGAGACAGAGCAGGGAACAAAACAGGCAGACCGACCGAAATACACTGCTGAGGGGAGCAGTGGGCAAGACAGAAGAGGTCTGCCGTGCCATGTGGGTATCTCCCTGGCTGGCCGGGATCCATCCTGTGCTTCAGAAGCTGCGGACAGCTTCACAGAGCTGCGCTCAACCACCTGCACCGCCAGGGAGGCCCTGATGCCAGGTTTTATCTTACCTATGGTGCAAGGATCTATGTTCTTATTTAATCATGAAAAAGAATCAGAAGAATAAAGGTTTTAATATACCACAAAGAAGGTATATTCTTCCCTAAGCCCTGAGGGAGAAATATCAGGCTTCTTGCCGCTCCCTAATCCTGCCCTGGCAGACACATTGACGCAGGGCTGGCAGCTTGTGCACATGCCAACTCAAATACATATGGAAGAAAAGCACAGAAAAGATATACTTGACTAAAGTTAGTGACAATCCCTCCATTCTCAGAGTTATTATCTTACCATCCTTAGGAGAAAAGAAAAGTAAATCTAGGTTTTCAATACATTCTGGAGGTTCTCAGTATTTACTGATTGCTTGATGAATTTCAATACAATAAGTTCACATCAATGTCATCTGTATAAAAAAGTACTTATTATCTACTTTCTTTGGGTCCTATGCTGTGTTGTGATGCAGAGCAAACACATTTTCTGCAACTTGGAAACTATGACAATGATCTAGAACACTGATAAGGACTAAATGGACAGAGTACAAACAGCTGAATAAATATTAAAGCAGTGTGTGAATTAATTAATAATAGTAGTATCTCGTACAGGTGGAGTGAGTACATAATTTAATAGGGCAGTTGGCAGGAAACCCTGAGGAATGTATGCTCAAGCAGGATAAGGCCACAGAGAATTCACAAACTTTTCACTTATTAATCCTCAAGCAATGTAGCAAGTAGATAAAATAAACCTGACTTTTCTATACCATATTCTAGACCTGCTTTGGATTGGCATTTCCTAAGAAAGTCAAGGTCCTGTGAGCATTCTCACATAAAGTACTCATTGCTGGCTAAAGATAATAATTTTAGCATCTCTAAACCCTTTTCAAATTAAGGCGAAAAATTAATTTTATTAGTTTCAATAAAAAACTAAATTTTCAGTTTGCTTTGCCCCAAGCAAGTAATCAAGAAGAAATAATAATGTTTGTAGATCATTCTGTAATAAAGACAACGTTCCCCTGATGATCTGTTTTGAATTTCCAAACAGATTTGGTGAAGACAGTATTGTTAATATACCCATTTTACAGATGATGTACAGAGGAGTGAAGTAAATTTCCTATATAATAGATTTGTAAATACTTCTTAATATTTCTCTGTAAGATACTTTAATATTAAACCTATAGTAGATAGCAAGTTTGTTGAAAATGTAGGTATGTAGAATCTATGAAGCAATAAATAATTATCTATTGCTGATAAGTGGCAAGCCTAATGTATATACTGACACATTCTATCATTGTCTCTGACCTCAGCAAGTTTACAATCTATTTAGAAGGCAAGACTATGAATGTTTTATAGATACCTAATATCATGCAGACTAATAAGGATTGATCTGATCAGAAAAGATGAAATGCAAGTAAAATGGGGAAAGATGGGCCTCCCCGGTGGCGCAGCGGTTGAGCGCTGGGTTGCGAAGCTGCCCGCAGCCTCTGCAGCGCCGGTTCGATCCCCAGTTGCTCCCTGGCCACCGGAGGAGGATCCCACATGGCGCGCAGACCTCTCCTGCCGCCCGCTGCTCCCCTCAGCAGTGTTCTTCGGTCCTTCTGCCTGCTCTGCTCCCCACTCTGGCTCGGTGAATTCTCTCACCCTCCCGTGCTTCTGACTGTACCCAGTGCTTGTATAAATAAATAAATAAATATTTAAAAAAAAAATGAGGAAAGATGACAGCACTAGGATGTTGGTCTGCCAATCCTAAGCAGCTTTTTTGGCCACCATTTTTGTTACTTACAGTTCTGCATTCCTTCACAAGGTCAGAACTGCCTGGTCACTCAATTATAGGAGCCTAACCCTAAAAGATGCCTTTCAGATCAATCAAGAGCGGAAAGCTTGATCACCCTGGAAAGGGTATGCATCAAGAGGTATGACCGGGAACAAAGGGGAAGGGGAGGCAGTTGACTGATGTATAACAGGAGACCCCAGAAACTGATCAGTGGAATGCCTTGTTGATAAGATTGAAATCATGGCTGGGGATCTAAGGCTTGATTTCAATCACAACACTGAGTCATCAGCAGATGAGAAGTGCCTGGGGGGCAGACTCATGACCCCTGAAACTACAGATGACATGCACATTTTCTAGTTTCACCCCTCCCTTTTATCTTTGTCCTCCTTTACCACATAACTGAGGCTGTATGATTATTCTAAGAATAAAAAGGCCAGGATCTTGCTCTTTCAGCAACACCATGCATTGCACAGCTTGCTCCACAATCCCCATTTGTCAGCGCAGTGTTGTCAATGCAACACTGGGGCTAAAAGGAAGCCGTGGCAGTGAAAAGAGAGCACAGGGACCCAGGAGAAGGCAAGATTGTGCTAATGTGGAGAACAGGAAAGCAATGAAAAAGAAGTGGGAATTTGTCCATGTAGCACCTGGCACAGGACATTAAATATAAACATCACTATGTAAAGAAAAGGATGGAAAAAAGAGCCTTCGCTAAGCAGTGAACTTTCTTCAAGTTTATCAATTAGACAATCACTGCTCCTTCTGTGGGAGGCTGAAGTTTCTTCTCCAGCACTTCCCCAAGTAAGTAGAACTGCCAGGACAAGTTTCTATATTGTCAGATGTCTAATATTTTTTGATTCAATGAAAAAGACAGTCACTGAAGATTTTTGAGTAAGTATGGGGAAGCAATGGTTAAGAAAAATTAATCTTGTCCTGATATTTTGCCTAAAGTTAGAGGGAAAAGAGGGTGAGGTTGGTGGATGTGGCTAATTCTCAGGTGCATCTGCCAGGTAAGAGAAAACGAAGGTCAGTAGGGAAGTTTCCAGTGAGAAAGAGAACACCGGTCACATAAAAGAGTAAATATGGTTCAAATTATTAGGCTCTTATGCTCAACATGGACAGAAGAACTTACTAAAAACAGAACATACCAGATTTTGCCCTATGATTTAAAATCAGAGGAACTCCAAGGAAACATTGTGCATGACAGAAATAGAGATGAGTACCAAGGAGGCAGTATTAATAGTTGACAAAATATACCTTTTGTGTGTGTGTGAACATGAGTTTTCCTTTATCTCCTCCAGTGTGAATGGGGAACAGTAGGTTTTTAAATCCTCTTTCTGAAAGTGAAGACTCTCTATGAAAGAAGAAGGAAAACAAATGTGCAGATGGATCAAGATATACAGCCAATGCAGACTTTTCCAAAATCCTGAATTTAGGCTGTCTCAGTCCCAGATCTAAGACTTGACTGTGGGTGGGAAAGCAAACAACACACTTTGATGAAAAGGCAGGATAACAGCCACTGCTCTGTTATCCAGACGGAGCCGGCTTCCCTGGTACTTAATGCACAAGACTAGCCCATTTCTGCAAGGCAATGACTGTCACCTTTACCTCCAAACACACAAACTTGGACTCCTGAACCTAGTTAACAAAGACAACAATGGAACTTACAAAAATAGAAGGATGAGGACAAGGGTTTGAAAGAGTTTCTGCAAAGGCTGTTGGCACATTTTCCAGCAGATAATTATCTGGTGGCCCTGGAGAAAAAGAATCCTGGCATTGAAATGATCTGCATTGGGTGGAGTTTATTGTCTTCTGTATTGTCGGGAAAGGAGCACAGGTAGTGAGTTGCATCCTGGTTTCATTATGCAAGGTACTGTTTTATCAAAGTTAAAAAAAAAATCTCAAATCGGTCTAGCTGTTGTCGATTTCTCAGTGTTCAAATCACTATATCCAATTCAAATTGCCTAAATAAGACTACGAGGACTAGGAGCTGACACATGACAAGCTCTTAACCTTATGTGTTTCTTAATATTTATTTTAGCTCAAAAACAAAACAAAAAAAAAAACCTTGTGGCTACGTGGCCTCGAGCCCAGGTGTTCACTGACTGAGTTATTTTAACTTCACCAACCAGCAGCTCTTGTAAATCTCGCCTCCCAAGAGGACACGCCCAGCGAGGGCCCGTGGAGTGCATTATGGGAATTGTAGTCCTGGGGTGACTTTGTAGTCTCCGTGTCCCTCACGCTCTGATTCCGGAATGGTTGAACTTCGGAGCTACCAATTAGCTGGGGCCATGTCGGTGAGGCCGTGGTCCAACCGGAAAAGCCAGTGTGTGAATCTCGCGTAATGATTGGCCAATAGTTGACCTCGGGGGCGGAGCAACAAGGTGGGCGGGAAGACGACGGCGATTGGGCGAGGGGCGCACGGCGGCGGCTGGGGATTGGCTGCGTGCTGGGGCAGGGAGGCCTGGGAAGGGGCGGAGGCCGGAGACCAGAGCAGGAAGAGCTGTGGCGAGGCGGCGTCGGCGGCTGAGTCGGTGGCGGCACCGGCTAAAGCGGCAGCTTAGGGGGTGGCGGCGGCGGGGAGAGCAGGATGCTGGACCGGGTCGGGCTGCTGCTGCTGCTCTGTGTGGTGCTGCTGGGCTCGCCCTTGGCGTCCTCGGGTCAGTATCCACCCCTTGGGCTGGAGGCCCGGAACCACCGCCCCCCACGGCCCCTGTCGCTGGGCAGGGCCGGGGGCGGGGGGGGCGCGATCGGGGACCCCGCGGAGTGCGGCCCCCCCAGGCACTGGCCTGTCGCTCGCTGGCAGTCTTGGGGCTGCGGCCGGCCTGCTCCGGAGGGGCGCTTGGGAAGGAGAGAGGGAGGAAAAGGAGGAGCGGTCACCCCGCGACACCTCTCCCCGCTTAGCAAACTTTCCAGGACTCCCCTCGAATAAGGAGCTGACCCCTTGGGAACGTGACCCCAGAGCTGGAGTGGACCCACCGTGACACAGGAGCCCTCTCGGAGCTTCCTCGACTCGCAGCTTGCGTGCTGCCTGGGTCTGAACCCTGCAGTGGGAATTTGTAAGTTAAGATCTTGACAGCCCTGGACCGTCCCTGGCCCGTCACGACCTGGATGTTGACAGGGGTTTGAGGGGTTCGCGTGGCCCCTGAGCTAAACCCTGGCCTCTGCTGGTTTAAAAAAATGAAGATTTGTGATGTGATGGCACCCACTTCTTACCTTCCTTTTAAGAAATACTTGAGAAAGTCACGTTTACCTTTGTCACTTTTTTTTTTTTTAAGATTTGTTTATACGCACAAGAACTGGGGTACAGGCCAGAGTTTTGGGGGGTGAGGAGACTCACCAGAAACAGAGTGGGGAACAAAACAGGTAGATCGACCGAAATACACTGCTGAGGGGAGCAGCGGGCTAGTCAGGAGAGGTCTGCTGCTCCATGTGGGTCACCTCCCTGGCCTGGGATCGAACTTGTGCTGCAGTGGCTGCGGTGAGCCTCATAGGTTGTGTCTTAATCCCTTGTGCCACGTTTGTTGACGATTTGATAATTTTTGCGAAGACCTTCTTGCCTATAAATTTAAACCGAATAGCACCTACTTTGAACTTTGTATTTAGATGAAGGAAACCCTGTGCCTCTGAATTGATTTTCTGATTAGTGGCTCTATGCACTGGTTCTGAAAATTGTTTTTCTTTATGTCTGAAAGCTTCTATTTTGAGAGTGTTTCTAAGTGTTGGTAAAAAAAAAAAAAACAATTGGTCCAATAAAGGTTTTGGATTTTAATCAATTTCAGTTACAAGACAGCTGTCTGTGGCTTTAAATTTTTTTGGAACAAGGCAGAGTATAAATGTCAACTCTCTTTTCCAGCAGAAAATTTCCCAGATGGTTATTTAAATCCCCAAATTATCTGTCCTAGTTGTAAGTCAATGCCATAACGTCATACTGCTTCTAAATTAGGAGATCTGAACCTAAAATTCTTTCCATAATGTGGTTTGAGATATCTTTTCAAAAGCAACAAGCATATGTGTCTTACTTTGATGCCAACATTATGCTTTTAGGTCTGCAGTTCCCCCCACCCCCACCCCTTTTAGTGAATGGTTTGTTCTCATGATCAGACTTTAAATGGCCAGACTTTAAATTTCTATGTAATTCTTGAAGAACTCTTTGCAGTTATTTGATCAAAAGAGGTGAGTACCTGGTGGACCTTTGCATCAGGACCTGCCTCAGAATTCCTCTTGAAGATTTGATTAAAATGCAGTTTTAAGTCCTGAACAGGTTGGGGTATCTCTAGTTTGAGAGGCTCCACAAGTGAGTCTTAACACTAACGTTTGAGATTTATTAAGAACATGGAACCTATCCCTCTGAATTCAGTTTTCAAAATTTAAAGAAAATTAAAGTTCGCAAACATTTTTAGCATCTTCCTTTGACTAGATTTTAGGTATTTTGATTTCCACGTCAGTGGAGATGATACTTGGAGATCAGAAGTTGAGATTTAATCAGAAGTTGAGATTCTGAGGATGTTGTAATAGAAGACTATCACTGCTAAAGTGATAAATCTTAGGGTCATATGGATGTAAACAAAGGATTAGGTTCAAGAAATAACTGCTCTGATACCCATCATAGTTAAACTATGTCCAAACATTTTCTCTGGTGGAGGCGAAAACCTTACTTAGCTAGAACTAAAACTATATAGATATATGTGCTAACAGGTAGTGAAAGTAGTACTGTGCTCACATGAAGTTCAGATATAACTTGACATTTATGTGATATAAAATTTTATAAACTAAGTACGTGAATTTTCAGTTGGCTCTTTTCTTCATTAAATTGCTTCATTAATGTGCTGTCAGACTCATTTTTAAAGCTTAGACTTAAAGATTTGCTCTTATTACAAATATTTTATTATAACTTTGTGTTAGTGGAAGCTTGAATATTAGCAGTTACCGGGTTGAGTTTCATTGGCAAAGAGACTACAATAAGCCAATAAAGAGAATTTTGACCTGGTAGTAGTTATAATCTAGTATCTGGTTGTAGAGACATGTAAAATATACTTTTATTAGAAATGTGGTTTTTTTCTGTGACTAAAGAAAGATTTTTAAAGGATTTCTCCTTTTTCTCAACATAACTAAGTGCAAAAAAAGACTAACTTTTTCACTTAGAAATACTTGTTTTCTTATTTTGGTGTAAGAATAGGCAGATGATTTACTTTTTTCCCTTTGTGCCAAACAATGTTGCAGAGTCTTTTAAATTAGGTCCACTGCTAGGTATTTCAGGTAATAATTATATTAATACCATATATTCAAAAAGTACATTTCAGACTGTAGGGGATGTTTGATTTCATTGTTCTTTTGTTCCCAAAACGGTATTGTGAGTCAACAGCAGATGGTATTATCCTCTTTTGACAAATTGAGAAAATGGAGGGTGAGCAAGCTTGTGATAATGGACGTTGTGTATAAAATTAGTATGTCATGAAGCCAGGCTTGGGATCTGGTTCTCCACGCTCAGGCTTGGAGCAGTTAGAATCAAGAGTATCATAGGATCTGCACACGTTCAATGGCAAAGCAGAAGACAGAATGTCTGGCCTTTCTTCACCAAACTTTTTAGACTTTTTCTTGGAACATAGATCAGTCTGTTTAATTTGTATAAGAATTGGGAAAATGAGAGTAATGATGACTTTTCCCAGAAAAGATGGTTCTTTTCAGTTTTTTTAGCGGATACTGTAAAAATAAAAATTGGTCTTTTCAAAGGAAGGTGCTTGATTACTGAAGTAATAGAAGCCATTATGTTTCAGAAGTGATATTCTTGAGAAGTCTGTAACTCTTCATGAAATCCCTTTGTGTTTTTTTCTTGTTTGATAGCTGTGTTCTGATAAAATCATTAGTCTTTGCTTTTTACTAGTCATTGCTTTTTACTTATGCATCATTTTAACGTCTTTAGTCCTTACCTGACTACTTCTTTAAAAGTATTATACGAATGGATATATCAGTTTGGAAAAGAAAATAGCTGTGCTTTAAAGACTAACATACACAGCAGGCTTTCCCAGTTTAGTAAATGAGAAAGAATTCTCTTATCAGTAACCTTGTACAGGTGCCTAGTTTGTGAAGATAGGATAGAGAAAGCAAGCATGATGCAATTCACATGAAATAACTCTGATGTCACAAGTTCTCCTGTCTCTTGGAGTTTAGAAACACTTTTTGCTACTCTGATGCCTAACAGCTTGTGGTAATCTCAAAGCTGCATATTTTAAAATTTATTTATAGTTGTCTGTTATTTACCATATCAGCTAATCTTAAATTTCAACATTTGTATACATATACAGTACACATTCACTCATTTATTATCAGCTCTTGATATATAACCTAGGTAAGATTTGTGATTAAATATATTTACACATACAATTTTTATATAAAATAGAGATGAATATTTTCCATTATCCAAAGATTTGCTGAGAATGGTATTTCAACCATATATTAGAAGTTGGGTTTTGGGTGGTACTTGTGAAGAGGTTAGTAGGAAGAGTTGTAAATTGACATCACTACCTAAATGTTTAGTTCGGGCACTGGTATACACTCTACCTTCCTTATGCCCACTCAGGAGACATAACCCCTATTTGGAAGATCATCTGAAAGTAGTAAATGTGAATAACACTTCAATTCAAATTTTATTTGAATTGACAGCACTTTCATATATGGCAAACCTCACTTAGCAGACTGGTTGTTTCAAATATTCCAAAGGAATTAATACTGTAAACTAGAGTTCTGTGCATGATGATTTGGTCATACTTCTTAAGGTTAGCTGGATACTTTGATAATATAAGTTGTTATACTTTGAGAACTGCAAGTTATGAATAATGTTAAGAATATAACCATATGAAGTAAACACGATTGGCAACTATTACACTAAATTTTCTAGTAAAAAGCCACACGGCTTTATAGCATTTTGTCTACTGGTTAATTTCTCACATAGCTAATGGGACATGGAATAATTAAGCTCACTCTTGAATAAAATAAGGTAACTTTAAGAGTAAGAAGGAAACAGAGATTATTGAACAGTTTTTCTTTAAAACTGGCCAGATCACAAAGCTCAAACATGTTTGGTCAGTGGGTTGTTGAATGTGTTAATAGTAAAAGCAGGAAAAAGAATACCTAATAGCCGGAAGAGAATAGCTAGAAAACAAAAAGAATAACATAAGGAAAATTAAATAGGACAGAATCAAAGAAGCTGAAAGGAATTGGCAGAAAGGTATAAGTAGTTGGTGAAATCATGGTTTATTGAATTACAAAGCTGTTGATTTCTTAATAAATACATTTCACGTGAATGATTATGTGCTAGTACAATGCTGCCTTTTACCTGTATCTGGTTATCTCTTCAGTAAAGTAGAACACAGAGCCTACATAACTTCATCTGGCAACTTTGTCAAATAATAATCCTTCGCTTCCATCTTTAGTAGTCTTAATGAACAATGAAATGCTAACCAGTACTAAAATAAACTAGTATAATTCCAGATTCTGAGCAGAGAGAAAGAATAGGTTGGATCCTGAACCAGAGAAGCAGAGATGTAATTTTATAAATTTAGTAACTCTTCCTCAGTTGTGGACTAAATATATACAGAGGAATTGGATGCTGTAGGGCAGGACAGGCCACGGAGCAGGTTTTCTATGATCCCATGCAGACCGGGTAAAGGAGGAGAGAGTCCTAGAGACCTCGGTGGATTTTCAGGCTTTTATTGGGATTTACCCGGTACATGGCAGGTAGGGATGCTGGGGGGCAAGTCCACTTTTTCTGGTCTCTCCTGCGTTCTCTCTGTTTCTCTGCTTTTGGCTTCTCGGCTTCTGCTGGCGTCACCGTGATGCCGCCCTTATAAACTCAGTCTCTCAGCCCAGGTGTACCCACTTCAGGTGCCCGCCATCAGGCATGCATTCAGGACCACAGGTTCCCTCATCTATCCTAATGGCGGGAGGGCAGAAAAGCCTGATACTTTTACCTTACCCTACAGATGCTCTCTGAAGAAGTATCATTTTTACTGTTGGTGGTGATGGGTCTTCTTCCTACTTGTGTAACACGTGAGGCTAATGTATTTCCTGGAGAAAGAGAAAAACTATCCTCAAACCCCTTTTCTTCCTTGACTTAACCTTTTCTGAACAGTGGCTAAATACAACCAATTTTTTTTTTTTAGGTAATTCTAGTTTTTTTAATCCAGTGTCTGATTATTATTTGTTGTACTTACCGAATGCTTTATTTAATAATAACTGATTTCCCAACAAAAAAGATAACTAAAATTGTCTCAAAATTCCTTTATAGATGAAGAAAGCAGCCAGGATGAATCCTTAGATTCCAAGGTGTGTACTGAAATTTGCATTGACCAGTATTTAATGCCCAGTTTAAAAGCATGAGTTATGTATCTTGGAAAGCATATGAAATTTACATCCTTTGAGCAACAGAATTGGATTTTAAAAAGATAGCTACTATCAATATTAGTTCTAGTTCTTCTGGGGAAAAAAAATCACTATCTACGGGGAGAGAGAATAGTAAGTATTTTCATCATAATTGTTATTTATTAGATTTGATTTCAACTTGAATGTGCTGTCTGAACTATGTGTGTATTTGTATATGTGTAAGAACCTCAGGAGGTGACATTTGTACTGCCTGATGAGAGATTGACTTCATTTTTAGTTTTGAAAACATAACCCCTGCTCTTTGTTTCCACTTATATCAGTTTCTAAAACAAAACAAAGATATGTGGAGTTCATCCACTTAAACTAGTTGATAGATTGAATAAGGCTGATTATTGGTATCCAAGGAGACCAAGCTGTGTTGATCCCCTGATCCCTAGATTAGAGGAAATATAGATAAGAAACAGGAAGTTAGAGACAGGGCTGTCATAAGAGAAATAGAAGAGGTTGGGAGCATGTAGACCCTAACCCAGACTTTGGGCATGAAGGGAGATTTCCTAGAGGAAATTACATTTCAGGTGAAATTCAAAGAAACAGTCAGGATTGGGCAGGTAATGGAGGCATGTGATGAATGTGTTCCAATGTCTGTGGAGTTGAGCAAGTATGGTACAGCTAAAAGAGATATTCTAGATTAGTAAAAGAAATGATGAAATTATGTTGGAGGGAGTCTTGGTACTATTGAATATGAAATGCTTTTTATTCTCAGACCGCTTTGCCATCTGATGAATCGGTAAAGGATCACAGCACAGCAGGCAGAGTAGTTGCTGGTCAGATATTCCTTGATTCAGAAGAATCAGAATTGGAATCACCTATTCAAGAAGAAGAGGACAGCCTCAGGAATCAAGAAGAGCAGAGTGTCCCAGAAGAAATTAGCTTTCTAGAATCTCCAAACCCTGAAAATAAGGACTATGAAGAACCAACGAAAGTACGGAAATCAGGTAGTCTAAACGTTTTCTTTGCTTTTGCTTGTTTTAGGATGCAAATGACTGAAATTTTAAAACAAACATAGAAAAATGTTCAAATTGTCCAGTTTTATTAATTATTGACCATGTATAGAGTTTAGTTCAAAGGATTTTCTAGATTTTAATGTACCAGGGTTACTCGTTTAACAAATTTGACCCAAATTATGTAAGTGGAATTCAAAAGCAAAATAGAATTTGGATTATATTAATATCTTAACATTCTTAACATTATATTAATATCTTATAGATACTGAACTTCAGTATCTAATAATCTGTCAGAGTATTACACAGAATAGAAACTCATGGGAGGAATTGTCTAACATGCTTCTTTGGTTCTTTTTAGAATTGTATTAGGATTTTCACTACAATAGCCTTTTTAGTCCTCCTAGGTAATTTGATTCAGCTATTTATCCCTCTCCAATTGAAACTTAGCTAACCTTTAATCCTCTGCTAACTTAACCTTCTTACCAACCTGTACTTTTAAATTTAAAATTTGATCTCATACCTGTGCTTTAAAAAATTAATTATTCATGTGTCACCACGTACTGGCCTTTATTATTACAAAGGAATAATGTTAAAAATTGTGTTATTAAACCACTCTTGGGAATTGATCAGGTTGGAACTTTTAAAAATATAATTTTTATTATAAATACTTTGTCCTCATAATAGAAAATCCTATTTTTAAATTTCTTTAATCTTAGCTAGAAATAACAGCTGTTTATATAATGAAGATACAATTAGGCTTTTTTCTAGATGTATGAATATTTTTAAGAAGATTGAATTAAATCAAAATGTACATACTATTTTATAGCCTGCATTTTGCACAGAACAGTTTATCATGAACATTTTTCCATATAATTAATGGCTTTAAGCAATTTTGTATGTGAATGTGACATAGAAATGGTTTGTTTAGTGTTTTGTTCTAGAAGATCAGAGATTTCATTGTGCACATCTGTGAAAATTTCCTTAGAATTCTTAAAAATAAATGTAAAATTTTAAGACTTTTTAAAATAAATGTAAAATTTTAAGACATTTGATACATACTTCTAAATTGTTTTTCAGAAAAATTCCCTTTACTTCTTTTGAAACTACTCCTTTTATGTATATCAGCCAATTATATATACCACTTTCAAATTTTGCCCAAATAATGTGATTTACTCCTGTTTGTTTTCGATTAGGGAGATTTCCAAAACCACACAAAAGAACATTACTTCGGCCCCAACCTACCATCACCAGCTTCAAAACGATCAGCCTTCTTGTTTTAGCTTTATCATCACACACACATTTACTCCTTATTTTCCTTTTCCAGAATATTTCAAATCAAATTCCACATTGCTTTGCCTATGTGTATGCTATCTCTAAAAGTAAGAATTTATTGCCGCAAAACCAGGTTATACAGTTTTCCTAATTCTTTCAAATCTCTTTTTTAGATTGGGTTGTTTGAATTTGTATCTAAACTAAGATCTTATGTTTCTCTTCATCTGTAACATTTCCCCTCCTTAGTTTTTACGTGTCATTTATTTGTTAATGAAATAATGTCCTTTTTGCTATACAATTTCCCACATTCTGTATCTGCTAGTCATATCCTTGTAATGTTGTTTAAATTGTTTTGCTCTCTGCTGTACATTCTATAAACTGGAAGTTAGTACTAGAGGGGGTAGATTTAGTTCTGTTTGAGAATATTTTATATATTACATTACATTGGAAGGCATATTTTGCCTGATTGTTCTACTCTCGTGATTGATCAGTGAGGCTGGGTGGTGACAGCCTGACCCAGCCCTTTGAAAGATCCTCATTGGCCTTTTGTTTAGAAATTGTGGCAACCATTTTGTTTGTTGTCTGGATCCATTATTTCATTAGGCATTAATTACAAAGTGGTGACTTTGTAATTTATCAATGCCCTTGCATTTGTTATCTGGATTCTTTTATAAAGAGCTTTTCTGCATCAACTATTTGATTACTGAAGTATCATCCATACAGGGAGAGGATGATAAATGCTAGATTCTTTCCTTGAAATATTTTCAAGTGATGATGTGGTGCCCTAGCAACCTCCAGAGAAGACTGATGAGTATGTTTTGTTTGCTTGTTTCTTTGCTTTGCTTTTTGCTTTTGAGCATCATTACAAATCCATGGGTTTTCATATATTTATGCTTCACTCTTTTGTAATTACTCTTTTTTCATTACTCACATTATCCCATTTTGGCCATTAAGTTTATTCCTTTGTTCTTTTAACTAACCATAGCTGACTTTTAAACCTTTTTAGGTTTATATAATATATATACCTATATAGGTATATAATATATATTGCTTTATATATATATGAGATATAGGTATATGTTAGATAGATATATAAATATATATAACTTTTTTTCTTTTAAGGCAGGATAGTATGTCCCAAACTCATGTTAGCATTTCCTGAAATGAATCTCAGCTATTTCTCCAAGAAACCTAGATTCCTTTTAGTGGGAAATTTTATATAGATACCATAGTCTAGGCACCAGGGATATGCATTGCAACTGTGTTGTCATTACTAATAGGTCTTTTTGATGAATAAGGTTAGGAAATGTTTCATTCAAACTGATATTTCTAGTTCAAGTTAAATATTAAATGAGATAACACAAAGGTGAGATAACACAGAGGTGAGATAACACAAAGAATAGGATTGGCAAGTTGAACTCCCAAGAATCAGAGATCTTACCCAGTGTCAAGCTTGACTAATATATTCAAGACACAATTAGCACAAGACACAGTCTGTGGAGAAGTCCTTGACTGTCAAAGCTGCTCCCAGATCCTTTCTTGCCTCCTAGCATGTGCTCTGACCCAGAATTTAACATACGAGGCCACTAAGTGATGTATATGGATTGTCACTTCCACTAAAAGGAGCCATTTTAAATATGAAATGTCTTCAGTTTATTCTGTGATAGCTACATACCTTGTATGATACAGAAAGTCACGCCTCATAAATATGCCGCACACTACGGTTAGCAGTCTAGACATACCAAGTCTGTCCTGATACAGGATTCCATAAGTAGGTGCTCTCTGGGTAGTAAAGCCTTTAGATGCCAGACAGGTTCTTGTTGTTATGTTTCTCTTATCACTTTTCTATTTCCTGGGCAGCAAAAAGGGCCCGTGTTGCAGTTCTGTTGCTCGCCCTTTTCACCCACCAAAATCTTTATTTCTTTTCCTTTTATATTTGTGTCTCCTTTCCCCAAGTCTGAAAAACTTGATACCTAATGATATTGTTTATATTGCTTTATTCTATTGGGTTGTCAGCAAAGTCATGACTCATCTTTCCATAAATACATCATGACTTTTCTGACAACCCAATGTATGTATATATAATATATGCATATATTATGCATTAGTTGCAAAATAACATTACCAACCTTAACTACTAACAATGGGATGGCTGAATCCAGTTTAAGATTTCTTTTTTGTTTTTTTAATTAATTTATTTATTTATGCATACAAGAGCTAGGGTACAGGCCAGAGATGTGGGAAATGAAAGGATTTCACCAGAGACAGAGCAGGGATCAGAACAGGCAGACTGATGAAATATACTGCTGAGGGGAGCAGCAGGCAGCAGGAGAGGTCTGCGCGCCATGTGGTTTCTCCCTGGCCAGCCGGGGATCGAACTCATGCTGCAGAGGCTGTGGATTGCTTCATAGTGTGGTGCTTAACCCCCTGCGCCACCAGGGACCCCAGTTTAAGATTTCTTTATGGTTCTTTTGTTCTTAATATAGATTTTACTAGGGATTTATAATAATATGGTGTTTTAAAATCACATGTATAATTCTCTATGGCTACTCCAACAAATTTTATAAAAATTTGAATTCATTTGCTTGGGTTTATTTTCTTTTTTAAAAAAAGATTTTTATTTATACAAGAGCCGGGGTACAGGCCAGTTCTGTGGCAGGGTGAGAGGATTCACCAGAGAGAGAGCGGGGAACAGAACAGGCAGACTGACGAAATACACTGCTGAGGGGAGCAGCGGGCGAGACAGGAGAGGTCTGTTCGCCATGTGGGTTGCTCCAAGGCTGGTGGGGATCGAACCGATGCTGCAGAGGCTGCGGACAGCTTCACAGCACTGCACTCAACTGCCTGCGCCACCAGGGAGGCCCCAGTTTATTTTCATTTTTTAATAATTACTTCGTTTTTTCCTTTTCATTTATACTTTTTAATATTAATACTTGAAAAGGCTTACATGCTTATATAAAATGTAGCATAAATTACATATAAATTACTTTGCATATGTGGTTCCAACTACATTGTAACCATTACTTCTATATTTTATCAACTTCTCATTCATATCAGCAGCACCATGTTGATCTTCCTAAAACCCACACTTAGTCTTATAACTCCCCTATTTATAATCCTTCATTATCTCCCTGTTTGTCTGCAAGATGAAGTTCACAGCCCTTTAATATGATGCACATATGATGTCCCATATGCCTGCTGGTTTCTATAACTTCATCTTCCCCAGTTCCCCACCAAAGCATCCTTTTTTTTGGCATCTCTTAACCCATAATGGTTCTTCAAATACATCATGCAGTTTATGCCTCTGGATCTTTGCACAAACTCTCCCCACTCGGAGTATCATCCTTACCTCCTTTGCCCAAAACCATCTATCAAATATAAATACTCACTCATCCTTAAAGATAAGTTTCTCTTTTCTGAGCAGTTTCTAAACTACCCAAGAATAGTTGAAGAGTCTTAGAACTAAGACCTTCCTCTCTGGGCTTCCTGCTTACCCTTGACCCCCTATGGTCAGTTTCCTAACAGCAGCCAGACTGATCCTCCTTCCTGTTTAGAAGACTCCAATGGCTTCCTGTCACAGTAAAATCAAAACAACCTTCATAATCAAGATCCTCGTGTCTCTGATTTTATCTTTTGCCACTCTCGTTTACATGATTCCAGCCACTCTCACCTTCTTGGCTGTCTCTTGAGCATTTCACCCTTATTGTGTCAGGGATCCC